AAAAAAAAAAGAAAGCCCCACTTGGATAATTAGAACGGTAAATCTGGCTTGCTTTTCATTGTCTTGTTCGTGGTGTGTTTATGTATGTAGATATTTATGGCTTAGCTAGCACCAGGTTGTCATCCTTCAGGTTTCGTTGATTAGTTGCTCCTGTGATACTGGACAACTTGAAATATTACTGGGGTCGATAACAGAGCAGGACGCTTCACCTTTCTGCTTCACCTTAAAGTTGGTCAACGGAGTGAAAATCTTCCTACTTCATAGCCGTCTTGCAAATATATTTACTTATTTTTATTAACTTGAATGTAGATCAGATTTCACATGGCAGCATCTCTTGGGTCTTGCTTGCTGTTAGGTTAATTTTTGAGAATGTCATGTAATACAGCATAGATATCTTTATGCAATGTACATGTAATCCTGTATGCTGATTGATTTTCTATACTGTCATTCACATTCTGAAAATCCAAGTAGATTATGAATCTTTTCAGTTATGCTTTCATCCTAATTCAACTTGTGTATCCTGCCAAGGCAAACCAGTCAAGTGGTATTTCTCAGCAGTGTAGTTATTTATTTTCTATTTAAGGAACAGCAATATGCTACTGTTTGTACAGCTTGTATAATTTGTAYAGCTTCTTAATCCAGTAGACTTTTGTTTGGTAGGTTAGTAATTGCATACAGCGATTGTAGTCGTTGGATGTTTTATGACACTGGACAGCACCAGGCTTTCTGCACATTATGAAGACCGGGTTTTAGGAGATTACATGTCTTTGCCTTATTGCATATCATGATTTCATAAATTTGTGCTTTTTAGTGTTAACTGTTTATGCACTCAGCTAGTAACCAACCAGATATTTATGTGAGGAAAGCAAGGATGTTTGGTCAGTTAAAAAAATGCCAGTGCATACAGAGGAAAAACTGCCTTCTTCTGAGAAGATGCAGGAAACTGAAAGCATTGGCTGCATAGCTGACAAGAATGACTGACCTGAACTTTATTCCAAAGTGTGAGCTAAACTATTCCAAGTTTAACTCAGACAAAACTTAACTGAATTAAAGCACATTTATTGTACTTAGCTTCTCAAAAAGGAAATAAAAATCAAGAGAATACATTTATGTACTGATCGAGCTACCTGTCTGTACATGTACAAGAATACCTGCACAAACACATGTATGTACCAACACGCTAGCGGGCCAAGGATAGCACTTGTGATTCCAGGTTTTGAGCTGTGRAGGACCACAAACAGTGGTGAGGAAAGTTAGAAGGGGAAGAGATTTACATCACTTAACCTTGCTCACACATTTTAGGAACTAAAGTCAGAGGCTATTTTCTATAGTAAAATCAGAAAATGGGATGCCAAGTGCTCTTCAGAGCACCTAGTATAGGCTTCTGCTCTAAATTGCTACTTATTGTGATTACACCTCTATTTGAATTACACCTCTATTTGAATTAAAATGACAGCTTATGTTAACTTAGTTATTATTGTGGAAAATAGAGAATAATTCAGGATAGAGCAGGCATTAGATATTTACTTTTATTCTGCCAAATATTAAGATCTATTGACCCAAGAGGCAAATATTTTCCTTAAAGGATAAAGATTATGTTTTCTCACAAACATAAGAATTGCCTATAATTGCCAACAACTCACATTATCTTTTTGTAGTGTTATATTAAGAGGGAAAGTGGGAGTAGAGGGAATTGTTTCTCCTGGCAAAAGGAAACCACCTCAGATAGTCAGACTGAGTGGTTAAGTGGCTGGTCAGCAACATTACTCACAGCATTGACAATACCATGGAATATTACAGTCCAAACATTGCAACAGGTAAAACTGGGACCTTTACATCAGGTTGTTTTAAGGTACTACTTACAAGCRTATTACTGTTGGTACCCTCGTCCTCTCCCTCTTCAATTAACCGAGACATTCTTATGCACGCTAACCATTTGTCTGAAAAGCATTATCCTTTTTTGACATGATTTCCACCAAAAGTTCAGCAAGAGCAATGTATCATAAATACCTGCAAGCTTTTTCATTTTGATTGTGGAGATTGAAGTGCTGGTGCTGTCAAAATAAAAAAAAATAGTAATCAAACCCAAGCCATTACAGAATTTTAATCGAATAACTGAAATAGAGTTTTAGGTAAGTTGGAAATTCTGCTTGCTTAAGAGAAGATTAACTGAGCTTATGTGGTTTTTATTTCCCCCGTAAGTTTTTGTATCTGCAGCTCATGCCACCTTCTGTGAAAGATGCCTTCAGATATTTAAGTCCACACTTCCTCATTCTCCCTGCCTTCACCTCTGCTATCCCCAAATTACCGCCCTTTTATACAGATAGCAAATGAAAGGGCTAGCTAAACTCTCTCAGGCAAGAAGCACTCACTGCTTGCAGTCTGACTTTTCAGTACTAAGATTTCACTAGAGCTGGGGTTACAGACAAAGAAGACATGACCTCTCTCAGATGCTCATGACATTTTGTGTCACTTCCACATCTGACAGTGAGCTATCACTATTTCAGCATTGCTCTGGATACAGGTAATTAAAATTCTGATTTTTTTCATAACTTATCAGTGCATAACTGTTAGAAGTTACAATTTATTTGAACTGAAAGAGTAACACTCCTGATCTACTGCCAGGTTCAGTGGCTTGTATTTGATATTGGCCCTTCACCCCAAAATAGGGAGAATAACTAGCTTCAAAATAAAACTGACTTTAGTATTTTAAAACAATTTTAATAACTTTGTCTTTTAAATAATTACACCACTTGTAGGTGTCCATGAAACCTGTGGGCTATCTATAGAAACTATTGAGTATAAGTTGTGCTACAGCATTCAAGTGATTGGTGTTAGGTATAAAACGTAGTGCGTTTTCAGTATTAGACAGGTTGTATCTCTCAGCTTTTTGTGCATTTTTTTAATGTTATGCTCCTGCCTACAGTATATATAGATGATTTATGGTTACAAACAATGGTTAGAGATGTTCTAATTGAGGCTTCAATTGTTATAGCAGTTTTACAAGAATGCTCATTTACACTGTTGTAGCATTTAGCAAGGATAGGTCAATGTGATCCATTATCCTGCAACTGTTGTATGATGTGATTCTGTCAAAAAATATTTGCCCTGGTTATATATGTATTTTTGCCAACTAATTGTAGATATGAGGCATACAGTTGCCCTTTATTACTGTATAGTGTTTGCAATTGTAATAAAATTGTAGAAATCTCTACACAAGGACAAAGTATTTTTTTCATTTGACAACTGATATCCATGATGGGATAGTTGCACATGGTAAATGCTCCTGTCAGACAAGCAAGTCCTTTAGAATACAGACTTTACATTTTAATTGAAACAAGGGCATATTTCAGAAAACRCTGGAATATATTATGTATATTTAATTTTGTATTACTTCCATGATGGTCTCACAAATCAGTGACAAAGTAAGAGAAGGSAATTGGTGGTCATTTCCTTCAAACTCTTTTCATACCTTCAAACCTCCAAACTTGACTGTGRATAAGTCACTAAATACTTCAAGAGTATTCATTAAATACTCTTGAATTCTCATTGCCTACGTTTCAGCATTAAAGACTCTAATTTGAGAGACTTGCTCAGAAGTAGAAAACTTTAAAAATTCATGTTTGACTCTTACTTCTATGTATGTATTTGCAGGTTTTCTGCCAGGATAAAGGCAGGAAGTTTGAGACTAAAGGGTGGATAATTAGCTTTAAGCAGCAAACGTTGCTTGTTTTACCACTAAGCATTAGCAACTCAGCACCACAGAAACCGAAAGATTCCCGAGTTATCTGGTTATCCACGATTAAGAGATTTTCTGCAAAGCATTCCCTAGCATCACCTTTAGAAAAAATACATCAACAATACATCAAGTAGCCTTGTTGAATATATTTAGATATTGTTTCTCAGTGTCAAAATGCAAGCAGGGTTTTGAAAGTTTTCCTTCAAAGGGGAAGCAGGGCCAGCTGAAGATACGGTTTATCACAGCAAGAAATGGCCATTGGTATTAAATTGATTAAAACTCCAGAGGAATGCTCTTCCATCAGCTTAGGCCCAATTCACTGTACTTTGCAAGAAAACATTACCATGTCTAATGACAGTGGTCAATGACTGTTGGATGCTTTGAATGATCTGGTCATTTATTGATGATGAAAAATACAAACAAAGGTTTGATAAAGAGACAGTAAAGCACACACACAAAAAATAAAGGACTTAGAAAGTCATCTTTCCCACTAGTAGAAACAGCTATTATGCCTCAGGTGCTAAACGGTTAAAAAGTCATTCCCTGCCACAGGGAATATTGGATGGCATAGACAGTGGCATTTTTGAAGAAATAAGCTTGGCCATGCAATAAGGGGATGATGTGATCTCTCTGGTTGTGTGTATATACTTGTGTGTGTGTGTACACACATACCTATTCAAATACACATAAAAACTTGATAATGTCCAGATACACAAACTGAAATGAATACAAAGTTATCAAGAATTCTGAAGGAAGATAGGAAAGTGACGTGCTAGAGAAAGAGGAAAGAAGAGTGGAAAGGACATCCAAAAGAAGACAAGACTGTAAATCCATTCTACAGCACTCCTTTCAGTCACAGAACACATGGATTTGGGACAGATTAGGTGAGAAGGAATAAACTGGCTTACCTAACCAAGAAAAGCTGCTGCTTGTGCAGCAATGAGAGGTGATTGCAATATGATGGATGTTTTATGATAAAACAGAACCAGGAATTCCTCCAAAGGATACTCTGTGCCCACTGAAGTGTGTTTGCTTTTGGCAGCTTTCTCCTGATTTGATCGGAACTCCTCATCCCTGCAGCTATAAATCATAACAAAATTATACTATAAATCACAACAAAACTATAACAAAACAACTGCAGAAAGTTTTCACCTTTAAAAGAGTGCTTACCCACTCTTAACTATTATGCCCATAACTGCATAGTCATTTATGAAAYAACAGTTCTGAGCAAGCAAGCAACAGTTGGATACTCCTCCCCTTTCTATCTACAATGGTGGGAATAAACACATATTAATCAAATTTTACTCCTTTTTCCTGTAACAGCACTTACTTCCCAGAGCTGCCAGGATTTTCTTCCTATATGGCAGTAGAACAAGGAAGCAGAAAAGCTGCTTCCAGTCTTTTTTATGGATAGGAATGACAAATACGCCCTGCTATTGCTTCCTACCTCTGACAAAGAACACAATGCTCCATGAATCACTTCTAGAGTCAGCAGCAACTGCAGACCTAATGTTACATGTTGTCCCTTCTCCTCCATCTTTCCCACTCAGTCTCACCACGTCTCTTAATCTGCATCTGGATCGCAGGTGAGACGCTCTCAACCTCAGCCATCTCAGCTTCTAGCCTTTTGGCTTCCTGGATTGCTGCTGATTGCACTCACCAAAAATGTACTGACAGTACCCTGACTGTAAAACAATTTGTGCGGACAGCTAGAATAGTTGAATTGGTTGTTTCTCCCCAGGTGGAAAGCCTGTGTACATCATGTTTATGGTAGTTTTACTGCAGTATATGAAAAACAGACATTTTCTAGCTCTAAGTGCAGATGATTTCTGTATCCTGACCATATTAGTAAGGTTCTAGATGCATAGATTAAGACTATAATTGCATCTTTTGTTAAAGTGCTCCTGCCTCTAGAAAAAAGGAAAAATGTTCCTGGCTTTTTCATCTGTACACAAACACCATTGTTTTTTCTAGCATTAAATATATTCAGTTCATTTGAACTGAGCATAAGATTATGAATTTTAATGTGGGGAAAAAACCTATCAATCAGTACTGATTTTCTTGTAAGGACAAGAAACTTTGTGCTAAATTATAAAAGATCAGAATAGCTTGGACAAACCACTTTAGTAGGCGGTGCTGGAGCCCACAGAGYACAAGT